AAAGCTGACGTAAGCAGCAGCGCGCTAGATAAATCTGAGTCAAGAGTTCACAGAAGTATTACACTTATGTAAATCGTTAATGTGGCGGCTGGGGCGCGGAAGATTGATCACAGTGAGCGGCGAGAGTGATTAATCAGTTTCCAAAAATTTGCGCGCCAGCCTTCTCGTGCAAAATATTGTGATGAAGGAAGTCTGGTTTCGTTTTTACGATCTTGTTTTTATTTACAATGCAAATACGCTTCGCGACTATTTATAGCTACTTGATCATTTCAGACGTAGAAAAATCGTTTTTATTTGAACAAACTCGCGGGTTATATTCTTACTGTATTGAGAAAAAAAAATCAGCAGCTTGTAAATTATATCTATATATCTTTTCTGGGTAAGTTAGCACAACAATTGTCTAGCACACGATATCAGTAAAGAGTTAATTTCTTCGTTAAAGTCTGCTTCTAAATTGCTTGGAGCATATAACAATAGAAGGCAGAAAATTAAATCATAAACCACATAAGAAAAATTTGAGTATGTGCTACATTCATAATCGTTCCTTATCAGTGAATAAAGAGATCGTTGCTTAAAAGTATGCATAGAATTGCGTTAATCATGATAATTCTAGTTTCATGATCCAGAAAGATTCCTGGAGGTAATAAAGGTAAAAGGACAAGTAGAACTATTTTCAAAAGGAAATGCCCACCCTGGAAACAAATTTTGAAAGAACTTGGACAAGGGGACAGTATTCCTGTAATAGGTAAAAAACTGATAGAGAAAACCTGGAAGGCTATGAGTTTTGCTTGAGAAAAGTATAAAGCAATACCTCACTGTGCAGAAGAATATTTGTTATCTCGATTGTTTTAGGTTTAATGTAATACATTTTACTTGTTAAAATAAAATTTATTTAATTTCTTTTTAAATTTTACTTTTCTTGTATTTATGACAATTATTATTGAAGGGATAACATAACCTACATTTACCTAAAACCGACTGGTCCTACCTGTATTTGATAATTATTACTTCGTACCATTCGGAAATTGAATATAATAACGCCACTTTCTATGTGAAAAACAATGACTACTGCTACATAAATCCTGGCGCTTCACACCATCAGCGACGTAAAAAAAAAGTTATTTGCACCAACGCTCGGTGAACAAATAGATAGTATTTGCATAAACAATTTATCTATATTTGTCGAATTGCCTCATACTCATAAGAAAAATCGCATCCGCAGCCACACATCTGAGAATAGAGGAATCGTAGGCGCGCCATTTTGTATTATTTCGTTTCATCACGAATATTATAAGATAAACGTGGCAAAACCAAATGCCTGGAAAACTAAATTTTATGCCGTTGGTTTCCGTATTGTACTTCTGTATTTAGAATACAAAATCAAAAGCCGCTTAGAATATTATCTACGGCAACATCTTGTAGAAATTGCATTAAATTATGGTCAACCCATTGCTAAAAATTCATAAAAACATTAAAACATTAAAAAGTGAATACAGGGTTTTTCTTAATAAGAGTTTGGTAGTTCACACGGCAACCCTTGAAGAATTTTTAAGAAAAAAATTTCATAATAACAACGGTTTTTGATCTACAGGGTGTTCGAAATATGAAGTGAAGCAAAGACCAAATTTTTAGGAATTCTTACCAATAAAAAAAAATAACTTTGTAACAAAATAGATTCTAGTCAATGCGTCGTGTCATGCATAAAAACAAATTTGAGTGGAAATTTCGAAAATGTATATTTTTGAAGGAGCTGGTACCTTTTTTCCTTCAAAAATATACCGTCTAAACCCCGTATGGATGCCAATGGTAATTTTTTTAAAAAGTATTTAGTGATGCTTAAAAGATGTGTACCAAATTTAATAAAAAAATGTAAATCGATTTTGCAATTACGGTAAAAAAAGATAATTGTTTTCTTATATCTTGGAAATGAAACCCTTTAGAACCGCTATTTAAATGAGGTTTTTTAAAAAAACTTAAGCTTTTGTTAGTTTTTGTTGGTAATTGAATGTCAAAGCATTTTTCGCACTTTTCACTGTCAAACCTCTAATCATGAAAATCAATCAATAAAGAGTGCAAAAGTAACTTATAGAAACAATATTTTCATGTACTTTCATCTACCAACGTGGGTATTAAACATTATCAGTAAATTTTGTATAGACGTATGAAATTCTCTGTATTATAATACGAACAATAAACATGTAGACGCCTTGTAACTTGATTTAGATTTGTCAAAAAATTATTATTTATCATTAGAATTATTATTGTTATTATTACATTAATATTAACAATGAGCGAAATCGTTGTCCCCTTATTGTAATACAAATTAATGAAAGTCAATTTTATTGTTTTCATATTATAATATATAACATTATTATAATATTATATTATATCATAATTTCAAGGAATTTTTATTGAAAAACTTGACTACAGTAAATGAATACCTATTAATTTTAAAAGTTTGAAACCATCAGCGCCCGCCTGCTTTTTTTAATATAACTTTTTAATATACGCACCACTTTTGGTCACGGTAATTATCTTGTATTTCTTGTGTTTCACCATTTCCTTTTCGCGCGATATCTCTCGAAAATCACAAACAGGACACCCGCGACAACGTGTTTAAGCGCACGCGACGCACTTCTCCCCGCGAATCGTTTACTTTCCTTCGTCGTATTCCGAAAAACTTTACCCGCGTCTAACTCGACAGAAACAGAAGTATAAACTAAATATTTATAAAACCACTAATAGGATAGTAAAAATCGACGGTGATTCACGTAGGTTAGAGAATCTAAAGAAACTGGCGAGGATAAATAGTCCGTAGCCGAATGTATGATTTAATTTTATTTGACACTACAATTTTATTAAACTAAATTTTGTTGCACTGCAATGAAGTTTTCCCTTCTCTCTCTTTCCCTCCTCTCTACCACCCTCTCTCATCCCTACCTTTTCTCTCTTGCTTTTTTTTGCATATATTTGTAATTTTAAATATACCCAAATCTCTAAACAGTATATAACACTGGCCCTGAGATCATACTAACGATTGTGAGCTACAATAAGGATCGTAGGCTCTTTAATAAACTTAATAACATGCACAATCTTAAATTCTTGTTATAAATATAACAAGATAATTGTTTATTAGAACAGATTTTACACTAATTCTACAACTAAACATCCGGTAGTTATAGCAAGATATTCGGCATTAACTTTTTAAATTCATTTTTACAATTACAAGTAAGTATTTATACCGAACAGACTTTTTATTATTTGTCAGACTATTAAAAGATTTAATTGCACATTGAATATGTTCCTGTAGTATTATGATCAATTAAAAATTATTATTTTTATTTTTGCCTTATTTATTTTATACAATTACTCTGTAGAAGTATGTATGCCATAGTTAAAACGTATTTTTCTACTCCCGTCTGTAAAATGCCTAATTATCTACCGATCTAGCGTGCGGGAAGCGTCACTTTGCCACGTCAGTTTCGTTTCCCATGAATCCGAGCCACTTCGGACATTTCCGGAATTTTACCGTACGGATTTGGAAGCAATGGGATGTTTTCGGAGATATTTCCCTCGCTTTGAATTTTGACGTTTGTCAATTCTGACAGTTATGTCAGTGAATGTATTCGTGTTGTTTTGCGAAAGTGTACCCAAAAACTAACGATCGTAGAAAATGTATAGTATGCAACACGTTCGCTCCGCTGCGCTCCGCTCGTGTCAAATAAACTTGTGAGTCAAATGCCGTTTACCGCACTTGTTGCATAATATACTATTATTGAAACATGAATATATATTGTTTCTGTTATTTTATTTAGGTGCATTCCTCAGGCAAGTGACTCGACATTATATTGGCGCATCTTAAATTGAGAACATACAACGAGTACAGTAATGCGCCATGTATCGAACCTTGTTTCACCCCATAACCATTTAAGAGCTTACTACTAATTGCATCACCTAATTTAACAGATTGACGTCTAACTTTTAAATAAGTGTCAAGGGTATAAAACTTTAAAAACATTTCATCAATCAAATGTGGCTGAAAGAGTACTTATTTTTAAAAAATTGGTGTTTTTTGGATATTATTCGCATAGTTTTCTAATTTTACCTTTAGTTTGATTGAAAATTGTTATTATAAGGTTTTATATTTTTTAAATGATCTCTACTCTGAGGAGGAATAAAGTAGTCGACGGAATTTACGTTTGTCAATATAAAAGCGTTCAACAATTAAGTTCGCGGGAAAGAACATTTGAGCTGTTACTAAATGAGCGCGAGAGTGTGAACGTGGCTCGGTATCGAATCGGGTAATGCATTACATGTTTGTTTATAACAATTAATGCTTTTTTTTTCAAACACGTGGAAAGTTTCTTTCGGGCTCTTGTTCTATTTGTTTTGATTTAGCGAAAGTAAATAAATATAAAAGCATTATTGTGTTTTATTAAATGCTCAGTGCTCGAATTGCATGCTACCGTTTCGTCGCTCATTAAATTCAATTGATGCTAACAGTTCATAAGATCATCACCTACCACACGAAATTTCGGTCATGACATTGTAAAACAGCCTACGCACATATCTTAAATAAACCATCCTCCTTACGTCATTTTAAATTAAAATTAGCAATTTTCTACCTTCATTTATGAAATCGTTTGTTCTTTTCTTTTCTCCCAGTCAATACGCGGGTAAATATTCAGCTTTCCTGAGCTTCTGAAGAATTGTACAGTCGTTCTTTTCTCGAATAGACTACTGACAACATTCAATTTGCCTTTGGCGCGACAATATGAAACAATCTGAGCTTGGGAAATGAATTTCTTCTTTGAAACAGGATAAGACGGAAAATTATGAAAAAGCCATAAATCTGCGCGAAGACTACGCTGAGGAACCCTGCAGTGTTTTACTAAAGGACGCTAGCTAGAAAGCGTTGGGACCACTCTATATCTGCACATAAGCAGATAAAGACACCTAAACTCATGCACATACATACAACGGGTAAAGAAAGCACGTACCTCCTTCTTCTTCTGAATCTGACATGAAGGTCTCGTGCATCAATTCCGGAGCCTGTACCCGATACTTCTCCTCTATCGTCATCGCGGTGGTGGTCGTTATATTGGTGACGGTCGTCACAACTTTCAGCGTTTCGATCACAGTGATGTACCCTAACTTCTGGGCGATATTCAGTGGCGTTTGTCCGTTCTGAAACCACGCATATCAGATTGCAATGAAGTTAAATATTCTAGTTGATTGTAGACACACGCACATTTAATCGTATCCTTATTAAATTAAATCATGTGTATATGACGCCTGGACAATACCTATACGGATAAAGAAAACAATTTGTTAAAAACCGAGAATGGGGTTCCAGTATGTAGCGGATGGATAGTTAAGCAGAGTACCCGGTCCTAGTTCGAAAAGTAATTGTCGCAAAAATTTATAACAAAGGCGGCCAAAACATATTTCTGGAAAATATTTTTAAATTTCTAGAATGGCCGCCATTCTTGCATTTTAAATCAGATTTTTATTTATATTTTAATATATTATAATTATTCTACTATTATATTATCTTGTTAAATGATTTTTGCTCCATCTCTTTAGAATAGGTGAACGCGTTTTGTTAATATTGGAGTTGTTGAAAAGTGCTCTGTTACGGCTGTCTGCTCTGTCCGGAGCAGATTGATTTAGAATGCTTGTATCGCTGCAACGTCACAATAAATAACCTTAAAAAAATTAAATTACTTACTCAAAATAATTTAATGCTACGATATCATTTTTATAGCAACAAATAAGAGCCTAACTGGTTATGTTATATCTTTTTCGTAACCTATAATGTCAGTAAAGGAAATGAAAACTGGAAATGATATCGCACATTTGGGAATATTGTCAGTAGACTTGCCAAATTTTATACTTTTGGCAAAAATTATATAAATTTTTTGGGAAAATACAACAAAATATTTAAAATGTTAATAACAATTAATTAATTAATTAATTCAACCATATTTCGGAAAATACAATAGCAAAAATTAAAATGATCGTTCAATATTAATATAGCAGCTATTATTAGCTTTCTAAGCGGCCTTATTTGTAAAAAAATGTGTTTCCACCCGAAGAAGTGCTTGACATGTATTTATTTTCAGACTGTTAAAAACGCAACTGTTTCTGTTGGAATCTATCCTGCATGGAAACGCAAAGGTGTTTTATCTGTGTTATTGTTTTTGATTATTGTTATATATTGTATTACAATCCCGTCATATGTAAATGAGTATTAATTATTAATGTCTACGTTTTCATAATAAATGTATATACGTTTTGCTAAAACAACGAATATTAGTATTTTATAAAGGTGGGTATCCTAAAATATTTCCGAAGATGGCGAGATCATTTTCTTCTTATTTCCTTTACTGATATTATAGATTGGCTACGTTTTGTTATAATAAAAGTGGTTTTGTAATTAGTTTTTTTGAGAAAACAAATTTTATTTGTAGTGATGGCGCATCGCGCCCTCTAGCGCTGAGACAAGGAAGTTTGACAAAATGAGTTGAGCCATTCTGAAGTTATTTATTTCTAAAAATGTTCGGGGGGGGGGGGCTATTTTAACTTAAAAGATTAAGCTATCTGTTATATAAAATTATTTCTGAAAAAAAATGGGATTTAAAACTTGAGAATGCGATTGCGTCGGCGAAAATTCTAGAAATTGAGAAATAATTTCCAGCATTCTCTCTCGACTTCTTAATCATATGTTTTTTCACCCCAAGACTTTACGGCAGGATGTATTACTTCATGGGGCAAAAATAACAAAAAAATATCTTTTCTGCATGTCCACTTCTAAAAATTGCACAATGTTTTTTATTGTGAGCAGAAATTTGGCGGATATATTCTAATTTTTTAAACTCTTGAGTTATGACATGATCTGTTTCAAGTATATTTAAAAAAAGGCAATTGGTAAGCCACTGCGTACTAAAGAAAACACTTCGGTGTGTATTGGAAGTATAGGGAAGTACCTACGAAATGTCAAAATCAATTCAGAAATAAAAAAAATGACTTAAACACTTCGACTTTAGGATTTTTTACCATTTTAACAACTAATACTCCGTAACGAATGGAAGAGCATTCTTATCAATGTACCGTCACTAAAAATAGTCAATTTATTAAGTGGCCTTGACTTAAATATTCTTTAGGACTACTAAACTTCAAATTAAACTGGAGATATTACTTATAGAAGTAAAATACCTATTAACGAGAGATTACGAACACGATTTTAGTATTGGATAATATATACAATGTTTATGGTTATTTGCAGTTGGATAATATAGAACTCGATAAGGAAATTTACGTGATATTTATCATTTAATTGTATTGATTGCGTAGCAAATAACTTTTAATAATGCTTTACAGAAAATTATTGACTTAATTCATTTCATGAATTAATTTGGAGTTTTAAAAAATGCGAATAAATAACGCATTTTTTTGTTTGCGATGAAGATTTTCTTTCTGTTTTTACATGACTTTACCAAAGGGTTCCTTTGACGAAAATCCACACATCTTTATTGCTAAAGTTTGCTTAATTCTAATTAAGAAAAAAGGCGACAGATTTTTTTTCAATTTACCGTTGTTTCGGCGTTGGGATCGGCCTTGTGCTCCAACAGGACGTTAACGATGTTCGCGTGTCCTTGTTGGGCAGCCTGGTGAAGCGGCGTATATCCCAAAGAGGTGGTGGATGTCACGCTTGCCCCATTTCGCAATAGAAACCGCACCATGTTCGTCTGACCGTAATGACACGCCGTGTGCAACGGCGTGTAGCCGGCTTTAGTAGCTGCGTCGATGTCGGCGCCATTTTTCACCAAAATCTCCGCCACCGCGACCTTATCCTCTTGCGCGCAAAGATGAAGAGGAACCAGGCCGTTCTTCGCCTGGTGATTAGGATCCGCAGCGTGTTCGAGCAGTAGAGAAGACATCTCGGTGTGTCCTTCTTGCGCACTCAAGTGCAAAGGTGTGAACCCGGCCTTACTCTCAGAGTTCGGCTGAGCGCCGTATTCGAGCAAAGTGTTGGCGATATCCATTTGGTTCTTTCGAGCGGCAATGTGAAGGGGAGTGTGACCATTTTTGGCAGTAGCGTGAGGTGACGCGCCCTTGTCCAAGAGAAGAAGGGCGACGTTTTGATGGTCGTAATGCGCCGCGACGTGTAACGGCGTTACGCCGTTCTTGCCTTGGGCGTCTACCGGAGCTTCCTTTTGGAGGAGCAGTTTGGCTACCTTGAGCTGTCCGTATTTCGACGCCAAATGGAGCGGTGTGAAGCCTTTCTTGGTTGTGGCGTTGATGGAGGCGCCGTTGTCTATGAGGACGCCGGCGACCTTGGAACAGGTGAAAAGGGGACGGTACGTTCAAATTTTTGGAGCACAAGTGGAATTCGCAGTTTTAGAAGGGCGGTTTTCAAAAAGGTTTATTTTTGTAGGTATATGTGGCAGTCCGTTAAGGTTATTTTTCAACATTACTTTCGAATCATACAGGTTGTCCCAACTTACGCTACTACAACTTGATTCATTTAAATATTTTTTATATACCACTAAATGTTCCTTTTAATTACCCATCGAATGGTATTAAAATACTTTTAGCACTTCTGTATAATATGAAAGTAGAAAGTAGAATACCAGACTTCCACATATACCAAAAGTAGTACCTTTTGTAAACCTGACCACGATATTCAGGAATAACCTTTTGTAGGGGATAGTTAAGGGGCGGTTACTCGGCTGGTGGCTTGTCAAACCAAGAGCTTGCTTGATGATTTGCTACAGTTCGCAATTTTACCAACTACAATACATGCTTCGGTCTTGATATCTGATGGTGACTAGTTCCTCATAAGCTGCAATGCTTGCTTCTTAGAATCGAGTCCATATGTCGTGTAGGATATTTCTCTCCTTGTGGTCTGAATGTCCACGGTTCCCTATTACTTACCGGTAGTGAATAGAACCTTGTAAACCACGTATCACAAACCGTGATCCACGACAATTCAGCCATGTTCGACGATGTCGCAGTGTAACCGCCCCTTTAATAATAAGTATAACGAAGTCCCTTCAAGTTCAAAAATTCAAGAAACAAACGATTGGGTGCGCTACTGTCACCCATGAGATGGTAGAGAGCTACATTGGGGTAAAATACAGAGAAGACGCTCAGTATGTAGTAACGAAAACGATAGCAAACTACATACTGGATTCCTACGTACCTATTTGCCTACGTACTGCACGTGCTTAGGGTTGCTTATCCTATATAGTGATTATAGTGAAGTGAAACGCCTAAGTAGAGGCTAGTAAAACGAAAGACAGGTGTCAACAAATAAAAGTGAACCTTTTCCTAAAGAACGAAGGTGTTTATTATCCACATATTCGCTACACACAAGCAACACGTTAGTAAGGCAGTGATACACATGTACATAGTTTAACAACGGTAAAGGCGATAACAGGTGTAGAGATTTTTATTCCGGACGTAATGCTGTAACAACAAAAGCGGTTTACAATTAAATGAGAAATTCTTGGCGCTTCGACCAAAAAACCTCCATGGCATGCAATAGGTTGATGTGCGCGGTTAAAGTTTTGCGCAAACAGTCTTTTACCTCGTCTTGGCCCTCCTTCGCGGCGATGTGCAACGCGGTGTACATGTCCTTGGTCGCGTTGTCCACCTTGGCGCCGTGCTGGAGCAGAAGCATCACGATGTCCACGTTACCCAGCCGCGATGCTATGTGCAAAGGAGTTTGCTGTTCTCTGGCGCGGGCATCTACTTGCGCGCCGTTCCGTAAAAGGATTCTTATTATGTCAGTCTGAAAAGCAAATTTGAGTTGAATTAGGCCCAGGCAAAATGTATCCAAGAGGAGCCCTTAATCATTACTCTATATCGAACACAAAGCCCCACACATCTCCGCTTTTTTATACTCTGGTGCGCTTCACAAAAAAACTATTAGTAATATAGTTTTGAATGCACCCAAGGGTACATTTTTAAAAGGGCATGATGATAGATTGAAGTTTAAAGAGACAAAGAAAGAATCTTATGTAAAAATGATATTGTCCGCAAACTCTCGAAGACTTTACCAAATTCATCTGCCAGATATAAGATATATCGACTTAAGTGATCCGACCATTCCTCTAGACTAAAAAACGCTGCTTTCGTAGATCCAAAATTTTTGTAACTTGGATTATTTGTTTTAATGAAGAGTCTAGGTTTAAAATATTTGTGGTTTAAGCAAATAAAGTACCTTTGGTACATTGTCGTATTGGGCATTTTTTTGCAATTACCTTTTCGCGCAAAATGACAGAATACAGAAATATCTCTTCTGTCTATTGTTGTTCTTTGAAGATGTAGGTTAACTAGATCTCCGTATATAAAGAGCATTTACATAATGTTTTACTTTTCTATGGGTATCAGCATCTTAAGGAATAAATTTTTTGTTGTTGACCCGGTAACCCCACCTTAGTTTACCTTTTAAATAAATACTCTACCTATTATTTGTTAAAATATCAATTCGATGTAAATGAAAGTTATAGCAGCGGAACTTTCACATTTAATGGTTCAAGAATTTTGCCGAGAAAATACAAATAAATTCTCTCTGGAATCCAAAATGTCCCATTTTGCAATTTTTAAAATAATTTTTCGAAGTTTGATTGCACAGATTACGTATGGGGGGGTAGACATTTACTCCTTTGCCAAATTTGAGGTCGATAGCTTAATTTCATCATTTCTTATAATAATATCTCGCGCACCCTGTAGAATATGCCAAAACCTTAAATACAAAAGTTTTAGCTCTCGATTACGGACTATATGAAAAGAATTGACAATTGTAGTATAGTGTTTCGAATTTCATAAAAAAAAGAAAATTTTATTTTTTTTGCACCCTGACAGCCTTTATAATATCAATAATATCAAATTGTTCGGTAAAAGCTACAGGCTCCGATGATCCTCATCTTTTGGTTTTATTATTTTTGCAATAGAATGAAGATTTTTAAAAATTCTTCCCATGAGGGATCATTATCTACTCCTTTGCTAAATCTCGAGCATAGACTTGCATTTTTTTCTGTACCTATAAGGGAGAAAGTTTTAGCAATATAGCTCAAACCACTGAGTCATAGCGATTTTACATGAGCTACGGAGTAAAATATAAAACACCCGCACGCTGAGTCCAACTGAAGTTGTAGGTCTACCCCAACTCAATCGTCTCAGACTAAATATCAATTAGCTTTACCTGATTAGCTCTAGCTGCAAGGTGCAAAGGAGTCTCTCCCCTGACGGTAGGTGCGTCTGGATTAGCATCGTGTTGCAAGAGATAAATGACTATATTCATGCATCCCATGAAGCTGGCGACGTGCAGAGGAGTCAATCCGCTTTCCGTAGTTGCACCAATACTGGCACCATGCTTGAGCAATAACTCCACAACCTTAATCCTGTTCTTCTTGCACGCGATATGCAACGGAGTGAAACCGTTCAAAGCCCTGGCGTTGGCGTCAGCGTTCCTGCAAAAAGCGTCAACTTTAGGTTTGATCGGTTAATTCCTGAGACAAAATGTACTTGTCTAGAAGCAACTTGGCCACCCGCACGTGGCCGCAGTGCGCTGCTACGTGCAAAGCTGTGAGATAATCGACCGTGACTTCGTCGACTGGAGCTCTGTGGTACAGGAGGATCCTAGCGGCATCTACGTGGTCGCCTTGGGCTGCCATATGAAGTGGAGCGAGCCCGTTCTAAGAAAACAAAGCATTAGTGATACTTAATGTATCTGTTTTCTTCACTTTTTAAACATACTAGAGCAATCTCAGGACTTGTGATACTTAAACTGTTCTCAGCACATTTCAATCACCTTAGTTTTCGCGCTAAACGGTGCTCCCTTCTCGAGCAGCATGTCGACAACTTGTTCGTGGCCGCTCCTGGCGGCACAATGAAGGGGGGTCAACCCGTCCCTAGTTTTGGCCTCCTTGTTCGCCCCCTTTTCCAACAACAAAGCCACCATGTTGGTTTTACCCCATTTCGCGGCGACGTGGAGGGGTGTGATGTTGTGTTTCGCTGCGTAATTAACGTCGGCTCCTTTCTGAATGAGGAGATTGGCAATCTGTTGGTTGCCGTAGTGGGAGGCGATGTGGAGAGGCGTGAATCCAGACTTTGATGTCACGTCTGGATTGTGCTCGTTCTGTTTACGTAAATTTTACAATATACAGATTTTTGTTTAGGAAACACCCATATGAAACCAACTTTTATGTTAATTATTAATATGAAAAACAAAAAAAATGTTAAACCTAAATTATTGTCAAATTAAAATTTGCCGATCATAGACTTTAGATCGCTTAATTTCTATTTTAAGCAAAAGCAAATTACTTTCACCAGAATAGACGGGCAATTGGTTGCTCTGGCAAACTGCTCGTTAAATGCGTAATTTTAAGTATTTCCATCAGGAGATAATCATCAACCGCACGGCTGTAAACACGTATACTGATATCCACTATGCCGTCGAAAGGAAATATAAAACCCGCGTCCGCCTGAATGGGTCGTAAATCGCAAACCAATTTCGCGTACCTCCAGAAGTAATTTCGCCGCCTTAACGTCGTCTTTCTTGGCGGCTATGTGCAAAGCGGGGAGTCTAACCTTGCCCCTGGTATCGTTTTCCAGTAAAACCGCCACCACCTTGTCGTGGCCCTGCTGCATCGCCACCGCCAACGGGGTGAATCCATCCTGGAAAAATGATATAGCACCGTCCATTCCATATAATTAGGTCGAGTAGGAATTCATTGGACGCAGCGTTGATAGAACCAATTAATTAGTCTAACCAAGCGTGCCAAATTATAATCCTAATTAAACACCTTATCCACATCGATTAGACGCGGTTTTTTTTATTGCGCCAATGTTTTGAAACTTTTGCTGACTAGTTCACGGGTTTTCGGAAAAATATAGCTGCTCCTAGCAAGATGCCGTTCGCACATTGCTGACCTACTTTTTTGAGACTTGAAAAATTAAATTTTGAAGGGCACCTGTAATTTCAGAACTACGAGGGAAAATTCAAAAATTGGCAATTGCTTAATATGAAAGACATTTTGATTTTAATTTAATTATCTTTTCAATGCAACATTTTATGAGGAATAAAATCGAGCATTTGAAAGTTTTTCTTTTTCAGCACCGCCATCAGTTTTAAATTCAGAACTAATATTTTCCTGCATACTTCATGAAACCTCAAAAATATTATGTATTAGATGTTCGATACTACAGCTCTGTTATATAACAACAACCCACGCAGAAGTATTTCAGAAGTTTTGCAGTGTTTCATAAACAATAATAAAAATACACTTAAACTAGGCAATGATATTTTTTCACACTCTTTGGGTAGACATCGTTAAAAAAGGAAGTTTACATGTGGGCGAAGTAGTGTTCTTTAATTTATAGAAAAATAACGATGTTTCTAGATTTCTCGTGTATAAGTGGGCCTTGCACTTCGAAACGTTGAGGGTAAGATTGTTTCGCTCATTTATAAACAATTTTCATAAGAACAAAAGGATATGTAAATTTTTAAATCGTCAGCAAGTAGTAAAAAATTGCAATTAATTTCTCCGACAGGTCGTTGATAAAGATCGAAAACAATAATCTCTTATAGTGCGAGTGCGACTCAAAAACGTAGAGAACAAATATGCAGCATTCTGCAATAATAATGGAGTTTCCCATAACAACACATCGATAATGTAAATGCACACAATTAGAGCGTTTTTTAAAAAAACTTTTCGAAAATCTTAATAAATGTAAAATAATGGGATGCAAAATTTTGAAGTTTCAAAGCGGACTTGAAAGTTGAATGAAAAGGGGTTCAAAAACCGTAAAAATTACCTCGGTGGACAAACTCTGATTGGCACCGTTGCCGAGCAAATACTTGACAACGTTGTCGTGGTTCTCTTGGGCGGCCATGTACAACGGCGTGAAGCCGTTCTGACTCTGCACGTTGACGGAGGCGCCATGCTGGACTAGTAGTTTGACCACCTCCTCTTGACCGGCCAACGAAGCTATGTGAAGCGCGGTGTTGCCTTTCTTCGTGGCGGCATCGACGATAGCCCCCCGCTTCAGAAGTTCCTTGACTATGTCCACGTGGCCATCTTTCGATGCCAGGTGTAGTGCGTTGAGACCATTCTGAAAGTTCGAGCCCGCTTATGTTTACTTAAACCATAAAAACCACACTGTCTACTTACTGCGTTGCTGGTGTTGATGTCAATATTCGATTTGAGGTGTTCCAAGACCTTGTCCAGTTGACCGTTCCGAGCGGCACGTAAGAAGGCCGTATTTCCGTCAGACTAAAAGGAATGAAAAGATAGTGTTATACATTCAAAGAAATTATGGGTATCAACAACATAGAAATAGGTATACTTTTAGGTGTAAAATTTATTTTGTGGAACACTTGGCATTCTATTGATTCACTGCCTTTGCTCGGATTTTCAGGAAAGATTGTGACAGCATAGTACCTCGACTTAACAACAGTTGTTAGTCATACACAGCACAGGCAGTAAAAAAAATTGTTAGTTCACTGTTAAAGTTATTTGGCAAGTTTCATTATTAAAAATATTGTTGACTGCAAAATAATGATATTGATGGACATTGTTAGGACGTATACAAACATCAGCTAAAATAAATATTATACATGGTAAAAGCACAGAAACGAAGGTTAATTACAAATGTTTTTGAATTGTTCTTGATTTTTTCTTTTTTTTAACTGTTTCTGTCAAGCTCTGAAGAACCCAACGGGATGATTGGCGAGACATTGGCTAGTTCGACTCCACAAAAACCGACGCACGAGGAATTCAGAAGTTTTATAAAGAAATCATTTTATCTTCTCCGATTATGATGGTTTATTCAGTAATAGAAGGTTCGTTATTACAGATAAACCATCAAAAATCGAAACAAATTAATTATACGAAGAAACCAAAATAAAGTGCCTTTTTATGGATTATATTTTTTCTTTAAAAAATAAAATTTTAGAATTGTGACTGCAACTTATAATATGACGCTTCTGTTGAAACCGTTACCACAGTTCCTTGGTTGCTGGTTCATAATGGTTTTGGATGCTTAATATATTAAATGGATATATTATAAATAATAACTCAGGTATACAGTATTTCACGTCACCAAAAAATTATTTTATACCTAAAATACCTAAGTACACACCGATCTAGCGCGCGGGAAGCGTCACTACCACGTTAGTTTCGTTTCCCACGGATTCGAGCCACTTCGGACATTTCCAGGATTTTACCGCACAGTATGAATTTTGACGTTTGTCAGTTCTGACATGTATTGATATTGTTATGCAAAAATGTACCCAAAAGTTGATACACAGAAAAATGTTATGCAATATATCACACAATTTAAATACTACGGGCTATAAGTTACAATTAAAAACTAGTCGGCAAGTAAAGTGACATTTATAATTTAAGTTTAAAACAGAAATTTTACATACCATTCGCATGAACTTTAGTGGTTTTTACAGTTTTTATATTATTATTATTATTTTATATCTTGCCATGACAAATTGTACGATTTTGAAATATTCATGTCTCATCAGTAGAAACAAAACAAATTTGAAGGTTAGCACCTGCTTTTTCTTGCTCATATGATCTTAAAAATGTAATGCTGTTAAAAGCTCTATCTTTGAATGATTTTTCTTCCAATTACAATCTTTTTCTTTAAATAAACTACTTAATGTTCAAATGTAAAAGTTAAATAGACATAACGTTTTATATTTGTGTTTGTTCCATTGTTTATATGACATATTCAATAATGCATACCTCTCTGTCTAACAAAAACAGTTAAAAAGAGACAACAATACCAGAACCGATCGGAACGATAAACGAGTAGGTTTAATAGCTGGTGAATATGTTATTCGAATGGTACGAAATTTAGTAATGCGATAATGTTATTATTTTTAATTTGTTAAATTCTGATTTTTTGGTGACGGTCGTAGAAAAGGTATAGTATGCAACACATATTTTTAAATATGCAAATTCGAAAGTTGTATGATCAGAATTAAATAATTAACGATGCATAAATGCTACTGAACAGATTATTTGTTGAAGGAAAACAATTTACGACTTACATATACGTACTTCAAATTAAAATCAACAAAAATGTTGTGTTCAACTGTGTAAGACAAGTTCTTGTCAATTGGCGGGAGCACAGAAATGAGCTTTGGGAGCTTTTAACAATTAACATTTAAACTTTCGATATATTCTTGTCATCAAATTAGTCCAAAGTAGGGGAACCCTGTTTAGCGAATATGTTTCAAAATTCCATTCAAGCTAAATTAACATTATCCCCATGGGCGGCCTCGTATACTGAAAGGCCGTAGTTCGAGAAATACGTGTTAATAAATTTCACACAGTATTAGACGAGGTGCTATTTCAGGATGACTAATTAGTTGCGCTGTAAATGTCAGCAGTTCGCACCATGAAAATATCTAATGTGGCGGCTATTGTCGAACAGTTTTGTACTCAACGTATGCCAGCGGGTATTTAACGACTCGATAAGTTCAAAATAAGTAAAAACAATGGAGGACTCGCTGGAGGTTTCTAGCAGACAATAGATATTATTAGTAAACTTTCAAATAAAAAACAATGAACTATACATACCAGAATTATAGTACACCAGATTATTCTGGCCTTATTCTAAAACAACGAGAACAGAGAAAAATATCAATTTCCTATAAATATAGTCGAGTGAGTCATGATCGCTGCATTAAAATGACAATAGACGTGGCCTATAAAGACATTTTGAATGTCACGTGCGAGTCATAAAACCACTGGGCGCCCCCCATGCGTAACTTGCAGTGGCGTGCGGTGTCCTTAGTGCAAACTATTAGTACGTTTACGTTTACCGAATTGTTGAATATAACGGCCGACAAAAATGTAAACTTTTCTATTGCTATTTTGATACGTTATGATTAGTAGTCGATCTATTCGTATACTTTGGAATGGAAAAATTGTAGTTGAACTGGAAATTTTACAATAGAAAAAGCCTCCTAGGGGACTGGACCGTTCTCGTTATTTGATTATTTTGTTGCTAACGCAAAATTATTTGGTGATCAAAAAATAATTTTATAAATAAAAAAATAGATATTAAATATACCTAAATACATGCATATTTACTTAGAAATATATATTACTTTTTGGAAACGGAGAAAACTGTTTTTCAATTTTTTGTGTACAATTAAATCAATATATGAAGAATATCAAAATACTCAAAGATTTTTATTCCTATTTATAATAAATAAAAGTGATAAAATCAATTTACTAATTAGTTTAGTCAGTAAAACATGGAACTGTATCTAAATAATGATATTACTATATTTTATTTATATAATAACTCCGTTATTTGCTTTTGAAACTTTCTCTTGTTAGTTATTATTAATTAACATACGCCATCAAAAATAGTGCAAATATACCACAACCACATCCAAAAAGGGTAATGGAAAATGATTTAACAAAGTTATTGCTAAAAAATAAATTACCCTTAAAAAAATTAACCGGGTAGATAGATTCCGAAGTAATATAAAATTGCAGTTACCTGCCATTAGTATTAACATGTACGACAAAGAAAACAATTCCCATTACCAGTCTCACTAAATAAAATTTTGCTAAAAAATGGATTACTGGAACCATTTCATTTCGTTCTACAAAGTTTACTGTGAGCAACATTGATGAAACGGTTTTTTTCTGGAAGCAAGTATCAGCGTCAGTAATAAGTAAAGCTGCGCTGTAATTAATGTCATGGGGTTACGCCATTGAGACGAGGTACTTCGAAACCCCCCATGCGACAAGTGCAGCGAGACACCCTCTCGGAGCGCATTCATTGTACACAACTTTTGTTAAGCGGCAAACAGACTTTTGCGCAGGGAAGGTTTGCCCTTCATAACAAGTCGTAAATAAATACAAATGACAAATGAGGTTGGAACGGCGGAGGGGGTTTTTTCGTGTGACGAGCCTAATTTTGTTGATGAGTTTGGTAAATTAAACTGACGATTCAATAGTACTGGCGTGGTTTTATGTGTTTTCGCTCATAAATTTGCCAAAAGTAGAGCATTCGTGCGAAAGAACGGGTGATAATTAACTATGCGCATCAAGGTCGAACTAGGTATAAAAGAGAGTAAATAATACGCTAGTGGCCTTCCCAAATAGATGTCATCATCGGGTGTAGTGGGCAATAATATCAAAGTTTAGTCTTAAAGTGAAGCGAAAATAGTAAGAATTTTAGATTTCGTTTTTTTAGAATTACGTTTTCTTTGTATGTTATAATTGTTATCTTATGTGAAATAGTTGTCGATTCATACGACGTAGGAATTATCAACTTGGTTCTAACGTTACACTAATTCTTACACCTAAATATACCAAGTCTTTCCCTAGAGAATACTCAGACCTAAGAAATAAAACACAAATTTATATACGCCATGTCCACGGATGGAGTAAACAACGGGACAAGTGAATTAAAAAATAATAATAAAAAATAAAAGATATGGAAATTCACACATTACAAAAGGGGTTGCTTCTTTTAAAAGCAAAATGCAAAGAGTTTGTTTTATTGTAGATGCTACCCAAAAAACACACAAATATTACACCAATGAAAATCTTGCTTTACAATGTGAAATCACTTGGAGTCGTTATCCTGGGCTATGGAGCTAGACGATTGCGATTGATTACCTCGCCACCAGATGGTGTTTCTGACATAATTGCAAAAAAAATATAAACGCAATATTACTTTTTTTGGGTCATTAGATAGCCAAGTAAAGGCTCAACAGATGCACCACTCTCTGACAACAATTTCTGTGGCATTAACGAACTTGTTGCTTAACTGCTTAACTTACCATTCGGAAGAACCTAAAGCACATTGACATCGTCAATCGGAATCCATTTTGCCGTAAAAATCCCGGCTTCTAGCCACAAAACTGTAACTTTCCCGATCAGATACGAAAATACAGCGACAATATTAGTTCAAATAGTATCCTAGTCCTGTAGGAACATTATCACATTCGTCCAGAGTTGGTCACGGTAATAATCACAGTATGGTGTTCGGAAACGAAAAGAAACGCGTTTATTCGTCTGATAAATGTTCACCCCCAGCGAAACCCAGATGGGGCGAAAACGGCGTCGGGTTGGGTAAGTATACACGCGCGTTGCCGACGCCTTGTGACGTCATCGGTCAATATCGGCGGCGGCGGCGGCGCGTCGCTGACTCTGTGCGGTTCTACTTAAATCGTTCGCACCATAATTAGTTTTGTGACGTAATTTGAAGCGACATGGTAGCGATTATA